CTTTCTGATTATATGCAGTATAATTATATCATGTTAGACATAATTATGACCTTATTACCATCTTCATTTGGAGATTAGGTATAGTTTAAAGAAATGCATATGGGTGCCAAGTTAATAAGGAGTGGACTTGCGATGGTTAATTTCATTCCTCAGTTTAAGTGGACAATGGGATGCCCAGATATTTGGTTAAGCATCATTCTGGGAGTGTCTATGGGGGTGTTTCTGGATGATATTAACATTCAAATAAGTAGAGTGAGTGAAACAGATTTCTCTCCACAATATGAGTGGACCTCATCCAAATTGTTGAAGGCCTGAATAGAATAACATGATTCTTTCTGCTTGACTGCCTTCTAGCTGGGACATTAGTCTTCTCCTCCCTTTAGACTTGGACTGAAACTTATACTATCAGCTCTTTCTGACTGCAGATCTTGGACTTTCCAGGCTTTTTAATTGTGTGCACCAATTTCTTATTGTTAGTGTGTGTGAGTTTATCTCCTATTGAGTCTGCTTCTCTGGAGAACCTAGATTAATACAAGTGTCTAGGGGAAGACTGAAAATTAACAAAATCCTTTTGAGGATGATTTCAAAAACGATCAGACACATTGTTGATATGTCAATATGTTTTGAAGCATTTTGTTATTCTTTATAAAAATTGTTCTATACCTAAATGGTAATAATTTTGAAAAGTAGTCACCAGTATATTATATTTTTCTCATTGTCTTAATTTCTTTGAGAATATATATGGTCTAATAGCTTCATAGTGTTTTTATATGAAGTAGTTTTATCATGTGATCACTACACAAAGTAAGTTTAAAGTTTCTAAGTTTTTGACCAAAGGTTTTTTATTTAACTTTAATGTCTTGTTTTATAAAACAGCCTTGAAATGTTCTAGAACAGAATGGAGTAAACTTCTTCCAATTTGTTTCTGTGAATTTTATCCTTATTTGAAAACCCTGAATTTCTTCACCCAGGTTCTACTTTAATTGGGCACTTACAAAGCAATTCTTCAGTCAGTGTCTCTAATGTCTCCCCGCTTCCCAACAAATCTATGAAGACAGAACAAAAGATGCAACTCACAGAAACACAGAAAATTAAGACTGTCAGAGGACATAGTGCTTGATTCGGAGGTGGTTGGGAGAAAGATTTTCACTGAATAGCAGAGTAATGGAAGATTATGATAAAAATAATTAATGGTCTTCTCCAATCTCTTTCCCTACAACAGAGGAGTCATGTTTCCTTAAAAACAACAGGCAGACGTCTCATTGAAACCTCACTGAATGCCCACAATCTAGAGACACCAGGTCAGAACCTAACAGGACACTAGGCCGTCATCCTTATGTAAAAGTGTTGTTTCTTAAGGTACCAAGGCTCACTTATCCTCCACCTTCCCCTAACACCTCTTCCAACCCCATCACACACGAGTATGCACATCTGAATTAAAAACACAAGCAGGTGGTACAGGGTTGAACAGGGGGAGTTACATCTTAGAAAATATCATCCTCCAGGTGTGGAACCATAAATGGACTATAGGCAGAAGCTCCTAAAGTAGTACAGTATAGTATTCCCCTTGTATTTCATCTGCAAAGTGTCAATGATACAGATAATGGAGTTGGAAAATGGTTCTATTTCAGTCTAGAGACATGAAACTGATAAACTTTTGTTAGACACTGATGTATGGCTAAGACTCATAGACATTAGGTACCCTTTCATCTATACTGATATAAAAAGGTGATTTGGTTAGTACCTGGTAGAGAGTGAGCAGCATCAAATGAAATTGATATATTTTCTGATGGTAAACACTGAATCTGGATGACTTTGACTTAAGAATAGCAAAGAGGAAAAAACAAAAACAACACCACAAGGTCTCGCAGGAAAGATAAAGAGAACATTATACTGAGGCCCAAGAAGAATCTGAAAATGATTTATTACAGAAATCTGAGCTCACATAAGAAAACGATATGAGAGTATTAAGCACTAAGACATGGCCTCTAGAAACCTTTTGAACCTCAACCAGAGAATTTAGCGAAGGAAAGTCAGGTGTTTTAGTAATAGACATAGAAATGTGTATGTGTGTGTTGTTGTATATGCTATGCATGCAACTACATATATATGCATCTTAATGTATAGAGTGATATTTATATATGTGAATAGACAGGGAGATAAACAGATAAGTAGGTAGGTAGGTAGATATAAATAGGTAATACAAGAGGAAATCCCATAAGATTTATTTTGATCTCATTTGTTGGTAAAAATGCCTTCAATAGCACTCACCACTCATTCCTAATTTTTCAAAATTAATTCCTACCAAATTATGAATTGATAACATACCTTAAAAATTACTTTTAAAACTATTGAATATTATGTTTACAAAAAAAGAGTATTTGCTAATACCCTTACTAATTAACACAGACTTTGACTTTCTTGCCAAGGCAATAAAATATGATACTGAAATAAGTGAAGGCAAATTTTTGTTATTATTTGTAGACAATATGACTATTTAAATAGAGAACTCAAGAGAATAATCTGCAAAAGTCTGAGAATTAATATTAAAGTTCATTACAGTGATTGGATACAAATTAAATGGCAAAAGTTGATAGTTTTTCTGTACAGCAGCAATAACCAATTAGTGTACCTAATGTGAAAAGGTACTATTCACAAAATAGTAATATGTTATTAAGAAATGTACACAACCTACATCAGGAGTCTTAAAATACTTTATTAAACAATATAAATAAAAACTTCGATATAATGAAAATAGAAACTGTATTTCCATAACGGAGCACTGGATTTTTTAAAATATGCAAATAACTTTCAAATTAATGATAGGGTTAATAAATGTTATTTGAGATCATGGTAAAATAATTCAAAGTTCATTTGTGAGAACAAACAGATAAATGTATCTATGAACATTATGGAGAAAGAAAAATAATTCACATCTTTTAATACATTAAGACAGGTGTTTAAATATGTTACGACGTTAAAACACTGTAGTTCTGGTTCATGAACTACAGTCAGATTAATAGAACAGAATAGATAGTATTTGGACACACTATAGTATATATCATAATTTAGGTTATGGCAAAAACAGAGGGCATCATAAACCAAAGGATTAAAAGATGTAAGTTTCTAAACAAATGGTATTGGGAGAATTAATTATTGAGTTAAAAAAGAGCCCTAATTCATAATATTTACTAAACAAATAACTTGCAAAAAGTTGTTAAATAAATAAAGCAAACAAATAAATGAATCTACAATGAGGCTTTAAAAATTTTTTAAAGTATACTTTAAGTTTTCCTTCCTTCCTTCCTTCCTTTTCTCCCTCCCTCCCTCCCTCCCTCTCTCCCTCTTTTTCTTTCTCTCTTTCTCCCCCTTTCTTTCTTTTGTTTTGGAAGTCTCGCTGTGTTGCCCAGGCTGGAGTTCAGTGGCACAATGTTGGCTCACAGCAAGCTATGCTTATCAGGTTCAAGTGATTCTCTTGTCTCAGGCTCCCGAGTAGCTGAGACTACAGGGGTGCCCTGCCACACCCAGCTAATTTTTTTTATTTTTAGTAGAGACAGGGTTTTGCCATGTTGGCCAGTCTGGTCTCAAACTTCTGACCTTGGGTTATCCACCCACCTCGGCCTCCCAAAAATTTGGGATTAGAGGCACGAGCCACCACACCTGGCCTGGTTTACATTTTTTATATGGTCTTGGAACAGATAAATAGCTTCTATATAGGTCAACTAAAATGTGTTCAGAGACACACCAACCGCACGAAATGCTTTATGAATGGAGGGTGCCATAGTCAAATATGTTTTGTCAATGCCCTTTGGCACTATGGTGCGTATTAGCTTCCTACAAACATAAAAAATATGAAAGAAAACCACTTAAATTCATATATCTTCATTTTCATCAAACTTATTACACCATATAATTTTATTTATTTAACAAAACTTTTTAGAAGCCTAGTGTTTCATAGATTAAACTTTGGGAAAAACTATTCTAAGTATAAAAATAATAGCATATATAATAATGTTTAAAGTATCAGTGTATTTTATTAATCATTATAGACTTTTTATGCAAAATAATTCATAAGAAATTAAAAGGTAATTGATAAAGAAAATATTCAAAATAAAAATAATAAAGGGATAATATTGCTACTACATAATATAGTGTTTTTTAACACAAAATCTAGAGAAAAAAGAAATATACTGATAAACAATAAATAAAAGACAAGAAAATTCACAGAAGAAATATGAATGGTCAATAAATATAAGACATAACCCACTGATAATAAAAGGAAGTTTAAGCATTCATTTTCCTAGTAATTGAGCAAGTATATGTACGTCATTATTAGCAACAAAATTTACAATAATACCATTATGTATGATACCTTATTATATGAGACACTATGAAAGGTACTTTAAATGAGTTCTTTAATTTATTCAAAATAAAATACAGTGCAAAATGCTAAAAATTAAGGAAGAGAAAAACTTTTACATATTTGGGCATTGTACCGTTATTCACTAAATTTACTGAGGGCTTTGGGCATCCAGTGGAAAGTGCATTAAAATAATGTATACACCTTATGTAGTAAAATCCTAACATTATAACATTATATTATGTAAGATTGTATAAACATTATATTACATAGAAAATAATAAAAACATTAAAACAAAACTTATAAACGAAGTTATTTAAGAAGATACTGTGTGGCAGTGATAAATTGGAATTACAAAATGTATGTTAATAGGGAAATGACTGGATGAATCACTGTATATTCACTTTCCAGAATATTCTGTAATAATTACAATTATGTTTTCATAGAATATTGGTGAGACAAAATGCTCATGATATAGTATCTTGTACTTAGCAGGATATTAACTTTATACGCTAATTGAAAATTACTGTGTGTTTAAGTGTGTGCACTCATCTGTGTTTTGTTGCAGGGTGATGAGTTCATGTGATTTTTTAAAGATGTTTAATTCTTAAATATTTTATGTATTTTCTAAAATAAGCATGGATATTTTATGGCAGAAAGTATTTAAAAATAAATTTCTTATTAACTTGTCATTCCCCTCTTCCCCACCTCCATTACAGGCATTAATTGCCTTCCATTTTGTCATCTTTATTTTTACATGTCTGACTTGTTCACTTTGCAACCCTTGTTCCTTGCAGGGTGGCTTCCAGATTTAGGTGGTTTCAAAAACACTCGTATTACTTGAAATCTATTTCAGTATTTAGCAGTTAGGGCCAATAGAAATTTATTTTGTAAATTGTTGTCCTCTTGTATTATGTAAGGGGTGAGGCTTGGAGAAATAAAACTTGGAAGGTATCATTAAAACAAGAAGTAAGGGAGGAGAGAGAAAATAGAAATGATGTGTTAATCCATGTAATCATTAACCAATCAATCTAATCATTCACAGATTTGATTAGAAAACACAATATATTTATTATCTTGTTTCTTGCTAGATTTACAGATCATTGAAGACATGGCCTCTGCTCATTCTAGTCTTCCACAGGCGGAGAGGCAAGCTTAGGCATTAAACAAAAAGAATGAAGGTGGGACTCTGAGCTCCTAGGGAAAATAAAATTGTAACAATGGCAGCATCCAAAGTTTTGTGTAATATTGGGGGCAGAGAAATTAATTTGTCTTTCTCATCAGCCATAATTTCATTTAAATAGGGGGATGGTTTCACTCTTATTGGGTCTGGGACCCATGTTGGTTTATCACGCATTGCAGTGATGTTTTTCTCAACAGCGTTCCATCAGGTGGGATAAGTGTGGAGAATGGACGGCAGCTGGGCACCCGAGTGGTTCCTGCAGAGTCAAGAGAAAGAAAGTGAGAAGAGAAAAAAATAATTCCTTCCAAATCCTCTGAAGAATATATACCAAACAGATAGAGCATAGGTCCTGGGAGATAAAGCAGACTAGCACTGAAGTTGGGATGGGGTGGGGTGGGGGAGTGGCATGTCATTTTCTGAACCTTGAAATATATATATGTCTTTATTGAGTTATAACTCATATAACATGAAATTTACATCATAAAGCATATAATTAAAAGGTTGTGGTGTATTCACAGAGTTGTGCAACCATCACCAAATTCTAAGTTTATAACATTTTCTTTGTTGAGAACTTTTTAAAAACAAGTTTATGGGAATAATTTTTAGAATCAAATACTTTAAATATTTGCCACGTGTACAAATCAAAATCAGTTTGGTAAACAGTGTTTTCAGTACATTAGCAAAAAAAAAAAAAAAAAAGCAATCTCTTTTCCTTTTCATGTTTCCTCAACATTTACAAGAGTATGACTTAATTATATATTTTCATACGATACTGTTAAGTGAACTTCTCACTATTTTTTCAAATCTTGTCCCATCAGTTGGTGAGTAAGATCCTAGGGGCTGGGAATTTACAAATATGTATACATGAAAACAAGGTCATCGATCTTCCAAAGAGAAAAAAAAAAGAGGGGGGAAGATTTTCCTAAAATTTCTGCTATTTTCCACATTGTGCTTCTAACTCTACAAAACATTGGTTAAAAACTGCATGCCGAGGTGGGCAGATCACTTGAAGCCAAGAGTTTGAGACCAGACTGGCCAACACAGTAAGCCGTTTCTACTAAAAATACAAAAAATTAGCCAGATGTGGTGGTGCGCACCTGTAGTTCCAGCTACTCGGAAGGCTGAGTCACCAGAATTGCTTGAACCCAGGAGGCTGAGGTTAAAGTGAGCCAAGATTGTGCCACTGCACTACAGCCTGGATCACAGAGCGAGACCCTACCTCAAACAAACAAACAAAACTAAAACAAAAACTGCATGCCTTTTAAAGGTAGGCAGCAAAGCCTCCAAAAATACAGTCTCCCAGGTCATTGCTTTCAGGCTGAGAATCATTTCTTTGGAACGTTCTGTATCTTGAGCAATAATTTTGGGATTCAGGAAAATTATGGAGAGAGTTAACTAGCAGAAAGATATAAAATCTACCTTTTTCTCACATAATATAGGATTTTGAAATTGCTAATAATTATTACTCATCAGAAATGAGAAGCCTGTCATAATATGAAATGAAGCCTATTGATATGATTTGCAACTTTAATATAAAGCAAACTCGAGCCTCAATGCTTTGAGGTGACACTGATTGTAAAGCCCCTCATCATCTCGTCATTCAGTAAAGATGTTCTATGGGGATAACTGTGGAGACTGAGAATGAATGAGGGAAATAAACTCAGAACAGGTTATTGTTGTTTTCTGAAGGCAGGTATAATTTCAACTTATAAGAAAATCCATGTTAACTGAATGATGAGTTAATCTTCTTTTCAAAAGGGATAATATTTAGTATTAAACCTTCATTGTTTTAATTCAAATAATGCTGGTCCCCTGATCTTTTATCCAGAAAGGACTGAATCCCTAAACCTTAATTCAAATGTTCCTATTTATTCCCAGTAGCCTTAGGCAAAGATATTCAACCTCCATGCCTCATTTTCTCCATCTGTAGAATGGCAGTAATGATGCTCACCTGTCTTTCAGGAGTGTTACAAGGCTTCATTAGTTGTTTGTAAAGTACTTTGTAGATGAAGAACTCAGCATAAATGCTAAGTACCATTGTTATTATGGCAGTTTTATGTTCTGTGCATAATTGCATTTTTTTCTTTTAAAAATATTTCAATTTTCCATCTGTCATTTGTAATACATCAAACAAAAGCTAAATTCTAAAATTTTCTCACATTACCCTGCTGAGAAATGTACATAACTAAAAGTCTCCAGACAGTATGCACAGTCCCCAAATGCTTCAGGGCAGTCTCACAAAACTCACTGTCACCAAGCAACAATATTACACAGCCCATGTATAACTATTTTCAGAAATGCTCATCGTCCTGCAAATATTAAGATACTGAAAATAAATGAAAATCAGTGATGGTTTGGTCTTTGAATATTATCAGGACTGCGTTTTGATTTCACAATAGTGAAAAGGCATTTGAGGTGTTGGGTTTCGCCTCTTTTTCCTCCTCACTTCCTCTCTCCCATGCCTTCTACTTTCCTTGTCCTGCCTTCATTCTTTTAAAGATATTGTCAAACAAAGCAATTTAACATGGACTGAATCAGAATTCATAAATACTTCTTAAAAAATCTTACATGTAGGTGATGGCTCACTGTGGCTACTTGTTTTGTGTTTTTTTTGCAAAAACAAGTTTTTCCAATACCATTTCCCTTCTGTTTGGGCCTACTTCAACACAGCCAACATTAAACGGTGAGCAACAAATAAAGACACATTACAGCAGGTCTAAGCACAATTGTCTCCCCAATCCATGTACTTGATAAATGCCCTGTTTCAGCTAAAAAAGATGTATAACGTTTCTCTTATACTAAATTTAGTGGTGAAAATCTTTAATAACTAAAACTGACTATAATTTCCTTCTTTCGACTGTTCTATTTCAAGGTCTCATAAATCCTTTTTATTGATTAGTTTTACACAGAATGCTGTAGAGCTCTAAACACAAGAAATTAAACTGAATGGCAGGTGGATTTTTTTCATGGTCTTTTCAGCTAACCCAGCAAAAATGAATTTTAATGTAATGGTTGACTTTGTAAATATTTCTTCCTTTTTATTATTTTTAAAGTTTCTGCTAATGTGTGTAATTTTATGTCACATACTTTTATTCTGAACTTAATTATAGAAAAGGATAACAACAACTTAAAATACTGCCCCAATTTTATTTTTGCTTCTTTGAAGTGTATCATCTGAATTCACATGTTGATATACATTATCTCTTAAGAAGAAATAATGAAATTTCTCATCAGAATGATTGGCATATAATTATGAAACTGGCTTCTGAATCGAATGTCAAGAAAATCTCCTGCATGGAAGCTAGGAAATAGATTTTTCACCTCTCTTGTATATGGAAAAAACACACTAGCCTTAGATTTAGGTAATTAATACAGTCTTCCAATAACATATTTGAATGGGAAAAACAGTTCCTACTAAAAAAATACACAATATAGCACAAATAGTTAAAAGATTTTAATGCATTAAAAGGGAGTATAGATGTTTGGAGGCAATTTGTAGCTTCTGCATATTGTGCTTACAAATTCTGTTTTCTCTGAAGAGGAGATAGGTTTTCATAAGAGGAAAAAGAATAGGAGTAGCATCCCTGAGGTCTTTCCTTGAGTTTTTGGGTATTTGCTTTTCTTAAGTCACTCTATTAGGAAGCTTCTAGCTCCAAAACACAACTGTGGTACACAGAGTATGAAAATAAGAGGTGTTAGAGATCTCATATCTCATAGTTAAGGTGACACCTCTTGGGGAAGACCTGTGTGGAACCAATGATAACTCTGGGTACAGAATGGACAATAGCTGCCTTTCTTGGTTAAGAAGATCAGAGTAAATAATGACTGTGAGATGCCTGGAGTTCACTTATTTTGAGATCATGTGATTCAAACTAGTAAATGACAAGGAGCTTATATTTAGGGAGAGAATAAAAGGGAATTCAAATCCTGAGAAGCAGATAGAGAAGTGGAATGAGAAGTGGGTACTGCTTATCCTAATTCAGCCATTATAAAATATTGAAGACTCAGTCTAGGACAGAAACATGAAACATATTAAAAGCAAAATAATTTTTAAAATACTCAGCTAGAAGAAAGAAAAATCCTAACAGCAGCCACAAAGAAGTTAAAGAAAATGTGCTACCTTTTAAAACAGATTAGGAAAATTAAGAGGTTTTAAGGAGACACATTTTCTTTCAGAGTTATTGGTTCTGCAGAGAATATGTATGGGTACATAAAGATGACATCACGGAAGCCAGCACTGTATGCCTTTGGATCTCTCCCTTAATGGAAAGATTTGATCCAACATTGGTAAAGTAGAAATCATTTCTGTGCTGTGTTCCCTGTAATTAGTGATATACATGTGGATACTAACTGCAAAATCACAATACAGAGACATCTTATTTTTTCTTTAATAATGTCTTTGCAATTAGAAAAAAAGATTCTAAAATTATACGGAGTCAACAAACAGCCCAAATAACCAAAGCAAGTCTAAGCAAAAGGAATGTATATGGAAGCATCATATTACCTGACTTCAAATTATACTACAAGGTTATAGTAACCAAAACAGTATGGTACTGGTATAAAAGTAGACATATATTGTATAGTCACATGTGAAATTGTGACTCCTATAGCCACAATGAAATTGGATCCCTATCTCTTATCACATACAAAGATTAACTTAAGATGAATTAAAGACTTAAATTAAGACCTGAAACCATACAGATTCTAGAAGAAAACCTAGGAAAAACTCTTCTGGGCATTGGCCTAGGCAAAAAATTTATGACTAAGACCTCAAAGGCAAAGACAACAAAAAGGAAAATAAATAAATGGGACATAATTAAACTAAAATACTTCTGCACATCAAAAGGAATAATTCATAGAGTAAACAGACAACCTACAGAATGGAAGAAAACATTTGCAAACTATGCATCTGATGAAGGAGTAATGTCCAGAATCTACAAGGAACTCTAACAAATCATCAAGAAAAAAAAAAAAAAAACAATTCCATTAAAAAGTGGGCAAATGACGTGAGCAGACATTTATCCAAAGAATATATACAAACATCCAACAAACATATGAAAAAAATGTTCCACATCAATAATCATCAACGAAATGCAAATTAAAATCACAATGAGATACCATCTTACCCCAACCAGAATGGCCATTATTAAAAAGTCAAAAAACAATAGATGTGAATGAATGTGAAAGGGAACTCTTACACACTGCTAGTGGGAATGCAAATTCGTATAGTATGGAGATTTCTTGAAGAACTAAAAG